CCTACTCTTACCTTTTTCATTCTGAGTTTCAGTTAATATACTGGTGAGATTCAAACTTAACCAAAAACTAGTTTTAAAATGACTTCTGTGAAGTGGATTTTCAACCCTTACTGTCCTCAACCCCAAAATTTCAGACAACTTTTTGCACACTCTGGAGACGAAGGTTTAACATTTACAAAGTGCAAAACTGAATGTTCATTGCTTGCCACACACATGGAATGTGTACCACACAAAAAGCAGTCACCGCGTTCAGGGGGCAAGTTCTTTTGTGGGGAGAATTTGAACTGAGTTGTGGGGACATTTCTGCGTCCCGACCACGTTTTTGGTCCCCACAAAACAGGTGAAATATCGAGTGTATGTCCCCACAACTACGTAGCAGGAGTTTGTGCACTAGTACGTGTACATGTATGTGCACATGAACAGAATTCCTAATTTCTGTGACAAGAGTCTACAAACTGTAAGTAAGAATTTCTATGCACAAACTTGCCGATGAAAATTCAGAAAAAAAATGAAGAACCAAACTCGACCTTGTACCGGTATGTACATGTCAGTTAATGTATGGCAGAGGAAACAAACTAATCTTATGTATTAACTTGGAAAGCACACAATTTACAATGTACATGTACAATGTAGCTCCACGCTTCCGGAAGACCGCTGAAGAGAGAGTTAAAGTAGCGGAGGCTGGGGTATAGCCCCCTCAAGAGTTTCAAGACAAAGACACCTATCGTGGCTGGGGGCATTACAGATCCTGACATTTTGTGTAGTGATACAGCTCTGGGTCCGCACACTGGACACAGACATATTCAGCTCTCTGGCCACACTCATGCTTTAGGGTCCCTGCCAATTTCCTAATTGGCCAGCCGCGTGGATTTTTTCTTTCCAAATGTAAAATGAGATGAAAAAGCAAAAACGTCCACTAATGCATCAAAAAAATCAAATTACTGTATACGCATAAAGGTCTTCATGTACATGTACAATGTACATGTATGTACACGTACAGGTGCTGGAACTTGCAAGTCAAAACTTCCATCTTAGGCCAAAAAAATCTCCAGTTTCTGGTCAGGGGTTGGCTTCGAAAGTGGTGCAGCGACAAGGCTTTCTTTACCCTCACTTTTTTTTCCTAAAAATGACGTACAGTATATGTATGAGTAACATCATCACTACATGCGTATGTACTGGTATCGCCACTGCCAACAATGAAATACCTGTACTCGTAGACAGGCCCCCTTGCTATTTACTGTTTACAAGCATTTTCAGCTTGTAGATGCACACAGGGCATAAGACCCCCTGGTTTGTCCGGTTCCATGATGCAATACAGAGATGAGGTCATCTGAAAAAAGTGCCCGACTAAATGTATGGGGCCTAGAGGGACTTCTTTACTGTACATGCATGTGCATGTACTATTCAACTCTTCCCCATCTAAAACACGTTAAAATTACACAGTAGCTGAGTTCTAGTCGATCAAGCAAGTTTGGCAGCTTTTGGACTTATAAAATTACCAAATAAAATAATTTATTTTGCCAATGTGCAGGTCTACGGCGACGTGTTTGCTGACCGGAAACCGAAGACTTTTGGGGGGCCCTTAAGCTCTATGAGTCACTACATCTCCACTGTGTGATCTCCCAAGATGCATTCATAAAGAAAAAGGCCATCTTGAAACAACATAATAAGCCCCATCACCTTTTTTGTCTCTAAACTCCCAAGTGCTAAACAATATCTTCTTGGGCCCAACTGTGTGCCAAGTCTTGACTTTGTTAAGTGCTATCTTGACTCTTGTGTAAATTTAATGTTCTCCTCCTGAGTTGATTATCCTATGAATGCATTTTATTCAAAGGCAAATCAACTCAGGATGGAAAACAATAAATTTGCACAAGTTTCAAGATTGCACTGAACAACTTCAAACTCTAGTCTACAGCAGGTGCCAGTTCAATCTCAGCTCAGCTCATCAGGAGATGTACAATGTACATGTGTTATGCTAAATTTGACTTTTTACATCATGTCATTGCTTTCAGATAGCTAACAGGTAACTGTAGGGAAATATCAATGGAATCCAGGCCAATTCTTCCAAAATATCCTTGTCTGGAACTAAGCCTAGCACTGCCTAGTTCTGTTTATTTCATGATGGACTGAACATGACATCAAATGAACAAGGAAAGGGTGCATAGAGTGCATTTGTGCACATGTATCCACCAGAGACCAGTTTTTGAGGGAAGAAGACTTTTCCTTTAATTTGAAAAACAAACTAGTGCAAGATATCAACTAATGTCCTAATCACTTTTCTTACGTTACATGCAATTTGAAAACAACGATCCAAACTGGAAGACCTTCACAGCTTTAGCCCGATGGAGTGATCTCCGATGCTTTAACGAACACACCTTCCGTCGCTGACTGTGACCTATTTTCGAGGGCTGTACAGCGGTAAAGTGTCAAAGTGAAGCCATGCATGAAATAAATGTTTGTTGAGGTGTAGCGCATCTTGTGCGACTTCATCTTATCCTTTATTGTCGGAAGCCGTATTTTCCAAAATCAATCTCTTTTTTTTTACTTCACAAAATATTGAAATGATTGCAGGTGTTTCTTTGCTTTCAACTCTAACGTTTCCGTGTTTTATGTTTTTTCCCTCTGTCCTATGTTTATTTTTCATTAAACATGCAATTAATCAATTGGCGAATGTTAATAAATTGAATACACTTTTACTTATTTCTAAACCTGAAACAAACAACATACTCTAGTACTTACTGTGGAGATTATTTCAATGAACCATAATTTACTTCGCAAAATAATAAATGAGTTTGAACTGAAAAACATGGCTCATATTTTTCCCAGGGTAATCTCCTGACAAAAGAAGGAAACTGCATTGAGAAAATTTACTCCTCTGTGGGTTGGAAGCATGGGAGACTGTGACTAGGTGTGACAATAAAATATATCCCTTGCCAGGAGAGGACGACACTGCAGCAGTATTTGATGTGTGTCCAGTGCAAGCAGTTTTCGAACATTCACTGGCCCCATGATGTTAAATAGATGGAGTTTGCAAGTTCAATGGGTGGAAATCAGAGGAAAACACAGCACTTGTCACTGTCATCAATCTCTGAGTCGCTGTCATCATCATCATCGGTGGTGGTGGTGGTAGCGCTCTGAAGCGATGTTGTGTTCTGGTGCAGGAGCATGACTTGGCTCAGGTTGCGGAGGAGAAATCACACAAGGCTTCTTTGGTTCATTCACATCAACAACACACCAAAATGCTTTGGTAAGCACTGATGGTGACTACAACGTAGTTCCTGTAGACACTTGCCCCAAACTGCAGCACTAGGCTTGTACAAATTCTGCAAGATGAGAAAGTAACACGTATTTTGCTGTTGGATGTCACATGTTGGTTGTATCTAGGGCCTAATGAACATTTATTATAATCTCTTTTTTGTCAAAATATCCATCCATTTTTTATTTTGGAGGCCTTAACTGTAACCCCCCCACAGTCACTTTACTTTAATATTTGTTGAGAGAATGAAATGAAAGAAAAAACCTACATTTCTGAGAATGTAAGTATTAATTTGGATGTTTCATATGTATGCAGGAATTGAAAAGTTTTGTACAAAAAATAAGCTTTGAAACATGTCAACTCATCCCTCCAAATGTGAGGGCAAAACGATTTGCCAGGCAGTGAGAAAATGATATAAGGAACATGTCTTTTCCAAGCACCCGTTCCCTTCCCGGCATGCTCAGTTGTCAGTGGAGTCATGTGACTTCAGTCATACACGGACAGCAGCTTTGAAACACTGTAATCTGAAACTTTAAAAGAAACTGTAATGAATAGTAATTGCCCCTGCAACCTCCATGGTTTTTGTATCTTGTAAACTAGGCCTAAATACATAAACTCTAGATATTTACAAGTGCAACTTACCACTAAAGCCTTAACTTTCCACATTTTTCAGCCAGCGGGGAGAAGAGAAGATCTTTAGCAAGTCTGAAGGTATTTTACGTCACTAGAAGTTGTTTACATTGCGCAGCACAACGCAGAAGGTAGGGCATGTACATATACATGTAGTAAGGATGCAAAAATAGGGCCCCTCGAAATCTGGGGGATCATTACCATTAGCACCCTGTTCCTATAATAAGGAAACAAAGTGAACTTTCTCAAACTAACATTTTGACCTTAAGGAACAATTACTCAATCCTAAAAGGCCTAGTTTAGGTAAATTTTTACAATATTTAAGCAAGAAAACTTCCTAACCCCAGTTTGGCAAAAGACAACAACTCAGTCGAATCACACCATTTTCTCTTCCGTCTGGTTACCCGACTCAGGCTTTTTGGATACATCGAAACAAATATCCATCCAGGTCAACGAACCAGACTACATTCGCTTATTTGTCGTTCACAGCTCTTCGCGGTACGCTGCAGTTTTACCTAAAACTTTCCCTCAAAAAACCAAAAGCCTTGTTCTGTTTTCTTTCTGATATGAAAGAGGACATCACCAACAACTTGTTTAGATAAGTCATTTCAAAAAGTAGAATTTGCTCCCTTATTTTTACAATACTTAACAGGAACAGGGTGCTAAAAGTAATGAACCCCGAAATCTGGACCTCCCACGATATATCCATGTCATTCATCATTCAGCAAAATGCATTACACTCTCGGCAGCCAAGCCCTCAATAAGGCTGTACAGTCAGTACATGTAGCTCAACATGTCTGCTTGCCCTTACGACTTAAGCAACGATGCTACAAAGCAAAGGGCTCCAACTTCCAGGGCTAGGCAGTGAAAAACAAAAAGCAGGTAGGCCCTAGGCCTGCCCCACTAGTGTGGCACGGATCACTCCTGATTTATCCTTGTAAATCAGGAATGACCCGTGCCACACTAGTAGTGGGGCTAGCCCTAGACCTGATCCAGCCCTTATTGGCAATTTGCAAATGAGTGACTGTTGGAGTTAATAAAGGTAGGCCTGTATATGTATTTACACCCATGACAACATCAATAGAATAATGATATTCATAGGGGGTCTACTCACAATCAGTGACCACAACACCGTTGTCAACAGTCAGTGGTATTCATGAGTTTCCATGTCTCATGAGCATGATGAACACGTGCGCACGTAAGCTTCACAAACACGACAAAATGTCATCGATCATCAGCGCCACCTGGCCACTGTTTCGAGTCACTGATCACACTGCTCGAATTGAACACAAGGGCGATAATCTAACGGATAAACTCCTAAGGTACATAAAGGGGAAATATGGAAATAGCTCTACATACATGTATTTGCTCCCAGCACTCGCCGACTGTGCATGCAGAAAAGTTTTTAATACTAGTAAGATTAAGGTTTATCCGACTGCTAGAGGGCGCTACTGTCCAGGTCTTGGAGACGTTATCCGCATTGTCTGTTTAATAACTGCGTGCAACACGAGTGGATTTGACATTTGTTACTTAAAATTAGTCAAAAGGGTTCATGGTTTAGCATGGCAGAAATTCACAGGTTTTATAATTTCCATCGTACACACGTGGGATTCGCACTGCAACAATGGGAGTAAGTGCAGAATACCCCGCCACTCGAAACAACGCCTGGAATGACGGGTTACGTGGGTACAAGGTGAAAATCCCTTGAGAAGAGTGTGACACTTCGACTTGTACCCGGCTATGAGGTTGAAGCAGGGTACCTGGTAGTGGGGTATTGTGCAGTTGAGTTCAATACTGGCCTATAATCACAAGATCTGCATGAGCACATATGCGCATAGAAACAAAAATCTCCAGCGGAACAAGTGACAATGCCACTTCCAACTAGTTTTTATTAGCCAAGCTTTGATGCACTACAATTTTTACAAAAATGAAAGTAAAAACTTAGCATAATTGTTAACTGATTCATGGATGCTGACGGGGATATTGTAGAATTTAAAAATTTCAAAAGGATAAGCGAAGACAATCCAACTTGCCACTGTTAAAACAACTGTGTGCACTACAACAATCACAACTGCCTGGACTTCAAACAGCTGCATTAAAGCCTTAAAGATCACCTCTTAGGAAAATATGTTTTCTCTGATTTTATCTGTTCAAATAAATACGGAAGCATTCACAAGGGTTTATCCACTATGAACACAGGGCAAGGGTTCCCCCGTTTTCTCCAAATGACGCAATTTACATTCAAATTCACATCTTGACATGAACAGGAAAAAAAGCCCCTTTAAGCTTAGTATAGTTGAGTTCTGAAGACAAATGACACCGCGTTCGATTTGGATGCTTCCATATTGATTTGAACAGATGCAATCAGAGGAAACATGTTTTCCTAGGTGCTCTTGGACACTATATGTAGCTTCATGTGACTTTAGCTTCATTTTTAAATGGGACTTTTAATTCTCCTGTAATCTTTGTATACATGGGATCAGCTGCAAGTATCTACATATTGTCCCTTTGAATTGCTATTCCATGAAATCATGATTGGCTCCGATGAGGACACCAATTTAGACACCTCTGCATGTGCAGACCCGTTTTTTACGTTACAGAGTTTGAATGCAAGTCTTACTTAAGCCAAGGCATACAAGCACAAATCCATTGAACAATTTGAATTTCCTCTACTTTTAAACTAGTAAATACAAGTGCAGTAAACTTCTACAATCACTGGTTGGACTAAACCCCTAATAAACCTCGTATGCCTTGTATATTTATGACCCTACAAAAACAACCAATCAACAAATGTACACTTTGTATCTGCTGGCAATAATACAATGCAATAACGCATAGAACACAGATCTTGAAATACTGGAGACAAGGTTAAACTATTCCACCACATGTGTAGTTCTGATGGTTTTGTGAGCAAGATTGCATTTTTGCAAAAGTAAAAAATCAGTTACATTGTGTTCTTTTTGGAGCACATCTTACAACAGTAATTTCAACAGGAAAATTAAGTGACAATACACCGTCCATTTAAATTCAGCGAACACTGTAACATCCAATACTATCACCGTGGAGAAAGCACCCCCCCCCATAAATACTTTTTCACACATCCACCAATCAGACTTTTTTCAAACTGAGAGAAAAGTTGCCAATTCAATAAAACCAAGTATGCAGGACTTTTTCCACCGAATGTGATGAACAGATTTGCGCACACCGTGCTCATTTTTTTCACCCCATATTGTTGGACTACATAACCTTAGTCATATTATTTCAACACGGCGGAAAGGCCGTGTTAACACATCAAGAATAGAAACCTTCTGAAGGAATGTCAGGCCAATGGTCAAGGTTTTCTGGGCAAACAGTTTCATGTACAACACTCTACAGCTTCGTGAGTTTTCTGTCACAACCCTGGGTTGGGGCAATATAAGAAATTTCCAGATAAACATGGTATAGTAACAAATCCAATCTGGAGATTTCTAGCTGTTCAATTTCGAAGGCAAAAACGAACAAATCTATACACTGATTTCAGAATGCATGTACTGCCAAAGTATGTGCACTGCATTTTGTTTCTAAGCATTTTTCCTTCAGTGCTCTACACTTGGGATAGTCCATACAATGTGGACATATTTTAAAAGGTATGTGACATGCGGAGGTTGGAGCACATGTGCTGAAAATATTAAATAAGATGAGACACTGCGACAGGTGTGCTCCTTAAACACAGGTTTATGCAATCAGCACCGATACACTTGTCTACTTGGCTGCCTCGGGTGTGGCTTCAGCCGCTTCCATCTTGTCTTCTGCTGCATCATCCTTTTTGTCTTTCTTCCCTTCACCTGAGAACAAAAAACAACAGGTCACATGTAAGTATCAGCGGCCCCAAACAGATTTCAAGTTTTCTGACAAGAAGATCACCACAAGGTGTAGAGTATATTGGGTATTATATTTTGAACCAGGAAGTGTCGCCGCAAACGCATAGAGTATGGGCCTGTGTTGGTTCACGCGCTGTTTTGGGGCTACTACCTTTTACACACTTTATTGTGCACGCGACGCATTCACCTCGGTACTCTGTATTTAGACAAAACTACAATAAACTGGAGACCGTGTCGTGACAAATTGCACTTTCAAACACCCATCATCTGAAACAAACCAAGTCATGACACTGATCTTTACATGCTAACTGCATGATGCGTGCCAAAGCACCATACATGAACAATTGTGTGGCCCTCCAGGGCTTGATTCGTAGGGCCTCCAATGATTGCTTCTGCAGCATTCCGTGCTGCGTGATGTACGATGCACATTTGTAATTTACTAAGATAAATAAATTGGTGAGTTAAGGATAAAGCTTATTTTTCACCCCGATGTGAACAAAAATAAACCGAGTGCGCACAAAAAAGCTTGCGTCGTGTCAAACGAGCCAACTGTGATTAAGATTTTGAGCCTGAGAGTCAGACTTTATTAAGCACACAAGGACATTTGGGCCGCAAAAGATGGCACCTGGTGACTTCCAGCCCTCGGTCTCAACATACTATACAGTCAGTATACAGACATCAATAACCACGACAGCTGGTGCCTAAGATTCTGACCCACTTCACAATGTGCACTGGAGTCAAGACACAAGACTTCAATCCCCACCACCTACCATCTTCTCCCCCTTCGCTCTCGTTGTGACGACGCTTACGACGGAAGCCGTGTCGGTTTGGAGTGCGCTGCTCAACAGCCAACGGCTCCATGCCCAGAACCTTGTGGATTTGACGGAAAACGATCAGGCGCAGTGCATGCTGGGAAGAGAACCAAAACACAGACCATCAGGGATTTTGGTGTTTGACAAACGACTGTGCTCTCCTGATGTTTATGTTGTTGTATTAAGGCAAGCCCTTTCAACTGTTGCTGGATCAGGATAATCCTTAAATTGCTTCCTTCACTATTTTTTTAACCCTAACCCTACATAATACTACAAATTACTACTTGTAGTAAAATGTAGTACTGAGCGCTGTCGCTTGTAAGAGGACATGACTTTATTGCTCTGTGAAGCCATAAGATACAATAGATAAGACAAGGTACCATACAGTGCTGGGGCACTATGAATGCATGGCTTTATTGTTCTCTGTACGAGTAACAATGGAAGTAACCTAGCCAGAAGGGCTCAGACTACTACTTAGTATTTTGTAGTACTGTGTAGTGTAAGCCAAACAATATGCTCGGCGGTTAGGGTTAAAGACAAAATTACTAAACAGAATCATTCAATTCAATGAGCTTCCTATATCCCTATAACAAACCAATCCTACTATGAGTTTAACACCTCAAAATGCTGGAAACCTGTGTGAACACTGTTCAAAATAACTATCACGGCCCAGTTTTTTGTGCATGAGCCGCTCCAGTTCTTTTGCCAAATGGAAATAATAAGAGATTCCAGAGTGTCAGATTTTCTATTGTTATACAAGGAGCGTGGGGAGGGGGAGGGACGTCAGGATGTAAGGCCGCACAAGGCCAAATCAAGTAACATTCCAAGCAATAAGAATCTAAGCTGGCCCACCTGCGCACTTGCTGTGATGTCCTCACACTGCTGCTTGTCAAGATGAGCCAAGGCATCAGTCGGCTCCTTCTCGCAGGGATCGAAGAGCCCCGGTCCACCTGATGTAATACAAGCAATTCATTACCCAGCACCTGTTTGTCAGTGCCTTCCTCCAATGACACCACTACCCTAACGAATGCACTGCTAGCGACCACAAACAGCAAGTCTCATTCTACTCGGGTAGAGACCAGAACGATCTAATGAGAGATTCAAACTCCTACCTCAAGAGCCCAACCTCCAACATTCCAAGGAGGTCTTCCTTGGTTTTCTTACAGTAAATATATGTCAAATTTTTCCCACAATTCCTAAATTAAAAATTCTTGTGGCAGAGATTTTTTTTTCTTACTTGGCAGGAGGAGACCTCCAGCGATGGCTTCAAAGATGCGACGCAAAGCATCTCCTGGCCTCATGGGCTGACCACGACTTGCAATGACGCGCTCACACAGAAGCTCAATCGGCTATAAGGAGTTAAGAGAAATTTCATTGCAGTTAAACAAAATTAAAAGCAACATGAAACAAAGCAATTTCCACAAGCATTGTTATGCTTATTTCAACATTCAAGGATATTTGCAGTGCTCCTAAACTCTTTCCTCTATTCCTTGAACAAGCAGAAGGCGATGAGTTTTTGAGTGTGAGTAAGTCCACGGAAGCACCATGAGAAATCTTGGAAAGAGAAGGTGAAGCTCTGAATGAAATCCTTAAGCCTATTTGAGTTTTCTGAGGGTACGAATACAGTCAAACCTCATTAAGAGGAACACTGTTAATACAAGGTTCCTGTTATGTAACAAGGAAATGTTTGGACCCAATCCTTTGTTTTATATTGTTTGTTATTCCTGATATTACCATGTTTCTGTGATAACAAAGTAACTTGTTTGAGTCGAAAGGACCTCTTAGTAACGAGGTTCGACTGTACTGGAAATTTGAGATGCAAGGTCTTTCAAATCTCAGAAAAAACTGCTATTTTTGAGGAACTCCCTTTGACGAATGGCATCACTGAAGGGTTCTGCCAAGGCCTCAGCAGCCTGTGTGGACCACTCTCATTTGGCCTAAAACTTGTATGACGGCCAAATTTGCACAAATATCACCTTCTGGTTGGTTTTTTATTTTACCTCGAATTCATTCAAAATGGACATTTAATTTTAAATAAGGTTGTATTCTCATTTAGTATTTAATACATGCAGTACGTGCATTTTTATCTGGTGGTCTGATACCTACGTGGATTTTAACATTTTGTAAATTATTCTATTACTTTTGTACCGATAGCCAGCCATAGTTTTAGCATCCATATGTAGCAAAAACATGACTGTGAAGTCAAAACAGTAAACCCTATGGGCCTCGACCTGGACCAAGAGAGGGCGCTATTTTCTTAGCAATGGAGGCTCCTTTGGTTGGAAGTGAACTTTGCTGGTTCCCGAACGACTACGAGATGCATGCGTTGTGCGCACATTGCTACCAACAAAATGAACACTCCTGACCAACGTGGCTCTCTTCAAACGATGAAGGGGGACGCTTCTGCTCAAGGCGGATAGGCACAGGGCCCTCTCCATCAAAACGTACCCATGCATTGAGAGGTGCCCAAGTTGGAATCCGCTCGCACAAGTCCCGCAGGATCCTGATGACGACAACGCAGGACTGCAGCCCAGTCGCCCTAGCCTGGTCACAAAACAAAGGACGGACAAACGCAGAAGGACAAACTGTCAAAGCAAGGGCTACCGGATGGATGCAATGGGCAGAGGAGTGCATTCAGTCACTTGGCCAGAGGGGGTAATCCACTAAGATTAACTCCCGGGGGGGGGATTCACTTGGAATGTGGATGAATGAATAGAGAGCCGGTGAAATACATCACAACTACGATATTAAGGGTGAAAGACTCTTTGTCGCTGATGAACTAAGTGTATGCAAGGCCATTACTTTTAATTTAAAATCAAGGCAGTAGTAAAATGTTAGTTTAGACATTAGTTGTAAAACTACCACTATTTTCCGACAATCCGATCAAGGAATAACAATAACAGTTATTCTTATTCCTTGTGGCTTTAATGAAATAGCAACAAGAAACATATGCATACATATACATTACTTGCACTGAATGTGTATGTATCCATAAAACTCCTATTTAAAAAATTCAAAATGAAAAACCAAATTTCTCAGAACATTGTAATTTGTCAATTAGGTTCTTTTTTACATCTTATTTTTCCTACCTGTTCAATCTTAATTTGCCAAATTCTAAAGAGCTACATGCTAGGTGGTTATTCAAGTTCGGACGGTTTGAACTTACCTGGATACATTGGCAGGGATAAAGCTTCAAACAGACATAAATATGCTTGAATTCTGTTACAAATCTGACAAGCGTTTGATCATTTTGTTTTGGTTTACTATTTGACACATTGTTTCAAAGGTGCGAAAGGATTTCATGGCCTAGGTTAGAAAAATGCTTGCTTAAAAATTGTACTTAATTTTTCACACAAATAAAATGTTGATTATTCGTTTCACATTTTGGGCAAGCTAAATAGTTTCACAGCATTATAATTGTCATTGCATTGTATCTTTATATTGTAACTACAGCATTGGTTTTCTTGCTTTGCTTCCCGCCCCCCTCAAAAAAACATGGTTCTTCAAACCTACTTTTAAACAAAAGACTGAAAATCTTTGATCTCCTGAAATGACAGCAAGTATCCTTTCCCATTTCTGGAACTGAGAGCTCACTTGTCAAACTCCTAACAGAACACTTTAGAAACAAAAGCCCTAGAGAGAAAGATTGAATGGAATCGAACCTGAAACCACTTAGCATGGCGTAATGCAGCCAAGGCTTCCAGGCATTTTTGCCTGTCCAAGACGTCAGGTGGGTCCTTAGCCGTATCTATAGCATAAATCATGACACAGCCTTTGGATGGGATGGGTGTTTGACCAACACGCCGCAAAGCGACTCATGCAGCAACCCCGCTTTCCCCGCCGTGCGGTCAACGGCGACTGACCGGGCGGTACAGAAGTTGCTCAGGGGGACAGGCTGGGCCCCAGATGCACACTCGGCATTTTGGGTGTGGGTTTCAACTGACAGGGTGTGTGAGTGTTTTGAGATATTTTGGCGGTTCCAAATACAGCCTCGTGATGCAGGTGAAAGACAGTTAACAGATCACCGAATTTTAGGCTGATATGAAAACCAAAAAATGCTCAAGACTTGAAATGTTCTTATCCAAGCCGACAACAGTGCAAATGAAGGAAACCTGGCAAATCATGCATTTTCAACACTTTAATCTAATAGAACAGCATGCTATAATGGGTTCGAAATAAGAAGCAGGCCCCATCTTCTGACAACACTTCATTTAGTTACAACCTATCGATCACTTCGCCTATTTAGAGTCGGACAACAATTTTTGACAATGCCCGCATTTCAAGGACGGTGAACACCACTTTCACCAATGTTTCAATGTAGGTAAATGTCAGTTGAGTGTAAAACCAATATGAAAAAAAAAAAAAATCAAGTGTAACCCCAGGAACCACATCGCCGCAGTGACCAAAAAAAGGGAGCCTCATCCCCCTATACATGAGCGCGACGGATGGTCAAAAATCCTCCTCGCTGATGCCACACATCTTAACAGACTGGTGAAGAGCTTGAAATGAAGAGCAGTTGACTAAATGCAAAGGGTAGATTAAAATACAAACAAAACACACAGAGGCAAGCAGGCAGAGTCAGGGAACCATACATGATGGTCACCTAGCAGTGCCAGCCTCTTGCAATCAAAGTGTCAATATGGAAAACATAAATCAACAGTTGGGGAAGATGGTAACTCCTCCTTAAACTTTCGGGAGCCAAAATATACTCAAAATACTAAAACATTTTTTCGTGTTTTTTTTTTCCTTTCCAAGAGGAGTGGAAAAAGTTTATATACAGGGGATTCCTCTTTTGTCATTCTCAAACTGAAGTTGCATGTACAAGGTCTATGAGAAAATTTCTGCCTCCAAAGTTCTCTGTTCCATACTGGAGCAAAGGGCACTGCAATTCACATTTTCACAGGATGATTAAATAAGTGGCAGTTGGTCCCCGCTGAAATAACAACACCCAAAGTGAATATACATCTCGTTTGCCAATGATCAACATTCATTTTGAAGCCAAAACCAGGAAATACACAGATTCTGTCAACTGTAAGAATGTTGGGGGCTCGTGGGACAAACTGTTAATAATGCTTCATAACATCACATCCAAAAGAAGCAGTTGTAGATGAAAGGCAAACTCGGCATTTGTCTCACAGATTCAGAACTCTTGTACATACACCACTGTCCTCCACTCAAAACCGAGTGATCTTCTCCACTCAAAACCGAGTGATCTTAAATTTTCCATATTTTCAGCAGGTAAAACCATCCAAGTAGGAGCTTTTAAGCTACCCATGCGCAGCAGTTACTTTTGCATCTTAATCTGCCCTACCCCCCCCCAAAAAATTGTGAAATTCTGTTCAGGATTGATGACAAATTCACTGCCTGAACAACTGTAAACAACCCAGCCAAGACTAAATAATCCAGTCGATTACTTTCCAAACAACTCGAAGGATGATTTCACCCCACTTTTTTCCCACACTGTCTTTTAGTCTTACTTTTGGGCAAGCTCTCCATTAACAAGATTTTGCCTTGCGCGCTTTCTCGGGTGCCACTCTGCCCCCTCCGACCGAACTGAACCACTGACCTGCGGCATCTGCTGCTGCTTCGCGCATGACAGGAGACGTCAGGGTCACCTTCATGGTCATCTTGGACGCCGGGTCGGTGACAAGAAGCCCTGCCTCCTCAACGCACAACTTGATGTCGTACTTTTCATCAGTCACTTCCTGAGAAGAGGAATCGAAACGAACTATTAAAACTTCACCCACCATTCCATGCATGCGCAAGGTATCAGTTAACAATGTGAAAACGAGACACACCTGAGGTACATCAACCCTCAAAATTTACAGTGGTGCGCAAAACCCTTCAGGATGTCTCGCAGGAAGGGATATTAAGTGTTACATATGAAACTTCAGCAGGTGCCATGCAGTGTCATGAAGTACTGCTCAGAGAGCACTAAGGTAGCGCAGTAAAACAAGACAGAGTGTGATACACGAAAGGATGGTGAAGGGTCTTCCAGTGGCAACTTCAAACAGGATTACTTCAAACGGACTTAAGTCAGCAACTTTGTGGGTAAGACTCTTCAGGGAAAATCTTTATGGCTGGTTAATTTTCTTGAGACCACATGGTTCATCAATGAAAGCCACGAGAATCAAGCAGTATACACAGATTTGAGGTGGTCCACAAGACCACGACTTACCCCAAGTTGCTTGGGCAGACAGTCAGCCACGCGTTCCAGCAGAGTGCGGGTTGGTTTCTCGGAGCACAGCACCACCAGGCCCATGTTGAGATCTCCCCTCAGCAGAAGACCCTTGGCCAAGACACCCACGCGCATCACTCCCTTCAGCACGCGCACGGTGGTGTCCACCTTCTCCACTTGACTGAAGCCAAAAAAAATTCATAAAGACGAGATCAGTGACACATCAGTACCTGTTGGCCTGCTTACCAGTGACAGTGGATGAAGTCTATTCCAAATACTTCACCTGTTACCTGCTACTGCTTCTGGACTGCAGACCTAACTTTGAATCACCATAAATCATTACGACCGTAACCTTTCACTGCTTGGTTGCAAGTGCGAGTGGTATGATTCTCAACCAGCGATTCAAAGAATTATAAGTCCTGCAGTCAGTTCATCATTTATTCTAATACGTGCTATCTAAACCATGGGGGGTGGGGAGCATGCGGCCAAGTGGTTAGGGTCTGTGGCATCCAATCATAGGGTTGGAGGTTCGAATCCAGCTGCTGGCAGTATGCTGTGGCCCTTGGCAAGCCACTTCACCCCTACTTGCCTCTCTCCACCCAGGAGTATAAATGGGTACCAACATTAGCTGGGAAGCAACCTACGATGGCCTGGCATCCCATCCAGGGGGGGGGAACAGAAATATTCTTAGTCGTTTCACGGCAAAGGAAACCGGAGATAAACACCGGCCTGATAAGCCAAATTGGCTTGGACTTGCTTTCTTTTATCTAAAACAGTATCTACAAATGTTTGTCTTTTTAGACTCCCTTATGTACCATTTGTGACAACAAATTTACGTGGCATGAGTGAACTGTCAACACCACCTGTTTTCAATATGAGAAGCGTACATCTGACAGCCCAGGGCATCTTAACCCCTTGATGACGGGAATTTTTTTCCGAAAGCCGACTCCAAGAATTCCAGCCTCGCTCGGCCACGAAGGCCTCCGGCCAAATCGCAAATTCTCGGTTTGTGGCCCTGCG